GGCTTGAACTCTGGGCCTGGGTACTGTCCCTCAGCTCTTCAGCTCAAGGCTAGTGCTCTACCACTTGAGCCACAGTGCCACTTCTGGGTTTCTGGTGGTTTATTGGAAGTAAGAGTCTCACGGACTTTCCTGCCTGGGCTGGCTTTGAACCCCGATTCTCAGATCTCAGACTCCTGAGTAGCTAGAATTACAGGTGTGAGCCACCGGCGCCCAGCTACTTCTCACTCCTTATTAGGAAAGAAAACCTTACATAGAAGTTTTTATAGATGAATTCTCCTACAGTTGATTGATCAAATACCCAACTTGATCACTATTTCCAGAATGGAATTACCATGATTACTATAGACCAGTGGTCCTTAGTTTAGCTTACAACATGAGAATCATCTTAAAATCAGTGGATAGTTAGCTCAGTCAGATTATGCCTCCCCCTTACCCCCAACCCCAGGTAGGGAAGAGGCTTCTTACTCTATTGAAAATCAATAAAATTGGGAGATAGTTAGAATGGGAAGTAGGCAATAAAAATGCAAAATAGTAAAAAGAGCACAGTGGTGCATACTTGTCATCCCAAGCTGATACTGGGACTCTGATACTGGAAAGCTGACGCTGCGAATGTGGTTCTAGGCAAGCCTGGGCAGAAAAGTCCATGACACTTCATCTCTATGGAGAGAACTGTGGCGCCCAGCTATGACAGGAAGCATAAAATAGGTGGATTGCAGGCTGAGCACATGACTGAGTAGAAAGCAAGACATGATCTCAAAAATAACCAGTGCAAAAAGGGCTAGCGACATTGTACATGCAGTAGAGTGCTTGCCTAACAAGTGTGATGACCTGAGTTCAAACTCTAGTTGAGGATGGGAGGGAAGGAGGGAGGGAGGGGAAGAGAGAAACAAAAGAGAGACTACATAGATGTAAAAGATAATCCAAAGACAAGATTTACAGAGCTCTTTACTATAGAGGACAAGAAAGCAGAAATGATATCATTTGAGCTTAGTTGAGAAGATATGAGAAAAACAAATTGAGTGAAGCTTTATGTGGCACACTGAAAAGGCAGCTTTCTGGTTTAAAATAATGCCCTGAAACACAGGTGATAGTAGTGAGGCAATAGCATGGAGTCTAAGGCCCTGCCTTGGGCCTAGAGTGCCTGGTATCCTGTTTTGCCATTATGAGGAGAAATGTTTTTTGCATCCAAAAAATCAATTATAGGTATGTATCCCCATGCCCAGCTTGTTCTTTGAAATGCTGTCTCACTAACTTTTTGTCTGGGCTGACCTCAAACTGTGATCCTCCTATCTCTGCTTGCCAAACAGCTGGGATTGCAGACCTGAGCCACCATGCCTGGTTCCATATTAAAATTCTGTTCATTTTATCTTATGCTCGTTATGATTTACATTTCTCTAGTTTTAGCCTTATGTGTGTGGAGATATAAGCCCATCAGCAATGACTACGTTGGTTTTCATTTTTCCCCTCCCCTCTCTTCCCCTCCCTCCCTCCCTTCTCCTCCCTCCCTCCCTACCTTCAACTTAGGTCCTGGATATTGTCCCTTTTTTGCTGAAGGCTGGCACTGTATCACTTGAGCCACAACTTCACTTCAAGCTTTTTGCTGGCTAATTGGAGATAAGAGTCTTACTGACTTGCCTGCCTGGGCTGGCTTCAAACTGAGCCCTTCAGATTTTAGCTTCCCGAGTAGCTGGGATTACAGGTGTGAGCTGCTGGTGCCCAGATCACTGGCTACTCCCCTTTTTACTGGGCACACTGTGTTAGCTCCAAGTAATATAGTAGGGTTCTATTCTCTGCCTTCAAGGAATTTAGAGAACTTTAAGTCTAGTGAATATTTTTTGTTCATTACCTTTTAAGATCCTGAATACTATGAGTAGGAACTGCCAGATTAGCAATGCTCTGTAAAGCTTTTTTTAGTCACTCTGTTCTATTCAAATATTAGTATGGGAATAAGATTTTTGCCTTTTCCAAATTTTGAAGGAATATTTTATTATGTATATTTGTTATAGAGAAATATATAGTTATAACCTCTTTGGGTACCCATGTTAAGAATTAGCATGAGGTGAACTTTTTTAGATGATGTTATTTTGAGGCAGATCACTGGGAGTTGCCTTTTTGTTCTCTGTCTCTGCAATTGTGTAATGTGTTGTTAATCTTAACTTTTGTTTCATTTAGATCTTGATGCATACAAAAGAGATGGTGCAGAAGGTAATGCTGAGCATTTTCATTATCTACCTCCCCTTAAATATCATATCTGGTGATGTGCTGTATTCAAGGAAAATCATAACCCAAACATACTAGCAATTGCTTCTTAGGATGCCTAGTTTACACTCATAATCCTTCTAATGGATTACAGCTTTTTTCTTGTAGCAACACTGATATGATCTAGCCCCTGCTTGAAGCCAATATATGAGAGTTTCAGGCAAATTAGTAACAGTGCTAATTAGAGTTTATTTTCATGGCTTTCTACTGTATGTGCTCCAGTGTTGTTTGTTATGATTGATTCTTTTGGCACTCTTAATATTCTACTAAATACTGTTTGAAACTGTTGAGAATTTAATATGGATTTGTGCCCCTAAAATTTTGAAATCCATTTATTTCTGCTCCTTAAGTTGCCATGACCACTAAGCATGTGGTACAGTGGATAAAAACAGAGTCAGTTTCCTACCCTCTTACTCTCTTTTCCATTAAATTCTGTGTTTTGCCTCAGTTAAAACTTGACTCAGTGTTTTTCCATTCAACTGTATTTTTTGAAAATGCAAGATTCTTTTAATGGTGTGGTACTTGCCTTTCTAGTTTCTGAGGGCTTAATCTTCAGTTGTATACTCTGTTCATACAGATAGTAATTACCATAAACTTTTAAAGAGTCAGGGGACCCTGTAATTTCTGTAAGATGAAAAATTTGTATCTTCATTGTTTATAATGGTCAATTTGTTTTTGTTGTTAATTTTTATAATTTCGGTTTTTCACTAGATGAATCTTGAAGTTATTTATGGCGATACAGATTCAATTATGATAAACACCAATAGCACTAATCTAGAAGAAGTATTTAAATTGGGAAACAAGGTAAGGTCATTTGAAATTGGTTTACCTTTTTAAAAATTCTGTTTTTAACATGGAATACAATAAATTTATGTGTATGTGTATGCTGCCTCTGAAAATAATAAACTTGTTACCATTGAATTCTTTGTGGGTTTTGTTTTGTTTTGTTTTTTGTTGGTCATGGGGCTTGAACTCTGCGCGTGGGCACTGTCCCTCAGTTCTTTAGCTCAATGTGAGCGCTCTACCATTTGAGCCACAGCACCACTTCCGTTTTTGTATTTTTTTTTTTTACCCTACTCCTTGTGATGAGGTTTAAATTCAAAGGTGATGGTTTTCTTAACTGATAGATAATAATTTTCATTTGAAAGCAATATTATACGTTTACAATCTAAGTTTAAGATGTGGTCATATAAGTATTTACTACATTGACATTCACAATGAAATATGTCTAATAGTTTATACATATATTGTGTACATAAAGAAAAATTCCTATTGACATACACACATAGACATACACACTTGTACCTACCTATAATTATATAGGAGAACTTAAAACGTATCTGAAGGGCAAGGAGGCTTTGGGGAGTATTTGTAGTCATTATGTAGCAGTTCTCAATTGGCAAGTGTTTCTTGAACAATTGCTTAACGTTAAGATACTGTCCTTACAAACAAAACATGACAATATTATCTTACAAACTACCAGGTTCCTATCTTGCCATCCTGGAAAGTGGAATTTGAACTGTATTCTTCAACTTGAAAGTAGGCCTGGAATATGTTCTTCTACTGGGTTATCTGAAGCTTTACCTTTTCCCTAGAAGTGATGGTTTCTGCCTTGAACCTGTCAAGAGACTACTTATTGATTTGCTCATTATGTAACCTATATGAAAGTACTAAGGGACATCTTAGACATTATTTTAGCATAAAGTATTACTTATTTCTGTCCAAATATCTACTTGTTGGACAGTATAATTGCCATCTAATTTAATAATTTAAAGCAATTATTAACTCTTTGTTGTTTGGAAACGAGTCTCAGTATGTAATTTAGTCTGGCCTTAAACTCTTGATTCTCCTATATCAGCCTTCCAAATGCTGGGATTAACAGCATGGGACCATCATGCATTTATCTGTATTGTCTTTAGATTAAAAAAAATATGCTCATCCATGTTCCATAATTATTACATAATTTCCTGGGGTTGATTCAGTCAGTCTTATCCTCTGAGTGGAGTGCTGTTATTATCTCTTTATATTTTTATATCATTTATTTATTCATTTATTATTTGAGGCACTGTCTTACTATGTAGCCCAGGCTGGCTTGGAACTTGCTGTGTAGCCCATAGTAGCCTTGAACTTGTTATCCTCCTGTCTCATCCTTCTAAAAGCTAAGATCTTTAATTTTTAAAAACTCTGTATTTGTTCCTGTGTTTTTCAATGTCTTTACATTGTACCCTCCATAACATGTTACATGGAAGTTGAATAAATATGTTCTAATTTTATATGACTTTGTTTTGTTGAGGCTAACACTTGGAAATTTCCATGTTCACCTTCCCCTGTTAGTTGGTTGAGATACTAACTTTGATACTTAAACTTTAATCTTTTTACAGGTAAAAAGTGAAGTAAATAAGTTGTACAAACTACTTGAATTAGACATTGATGGTATTTTCAAGTCTCTGCTACTGCTGAAGAAAAAGAAATATGCTGCTCTGGTTGTGGAGCCAACATCAGATGGGAATTATATTACCAAACAGGAGCTGAAAGGATTAGATATAGTTAGAAGAGATTGGTGTGATCTTGCTAAAGACACTGGAAGGTAAGTCTAGCTCTCAGTTTTATTTTAGTAATTTGGACTTTAACAATTCAAATGATTAAAGGAAAGTCAAGTGAGAATGCCCGAGTCTACCAAATGTAAAGATATGACTTATTTTTTTGTTGTTACGATTGCAGAGCAACAGTTTTCATTTGGTGTGGACCTTGATGTTTAGCCAAATTTGATCATAATACTTCCTGAAAGATGTATCATGATTTTTAACTTATAGCAAAGGAAAGCCTTTACACTTGAATCATTACAGAATTGGCTTTATTGATGTTTGTTTGCTTTAATTTTCCCCCTCCCCTCCCCTCCCCTCTGTGCTGGTCCTAGGGCTTGAACTCAGGGACTGTGTGCTGAAGGCTACCATTTGAACTACAGCTTTGCTTATGGCATTTTTGGTAGTTAATTGGAGATAAGGGTCTCACGGGTTTTCCTGCTTTAGCTGACTTCAAACCATGATCCTCAGATCTCATCTCCTTGCATAGTTAGGCTTACAGGCCAGAGCCACCAGCTCCCAGCTAATTTTTCTTTTTCTTGGCTCCAATTTTTCTATTTAGTACTGTTTTTCATGCTCTTTGATCTTCCTAGAGCCTATTTGGGAACATGATTGTTAAGATTTTGCCATTTTGTGCTTTTAAATATCTGGGATTTAAAATGGGCTGTGGAGGGAGACTTTGTTCCCAGCATATCAAACTAATTTAAGAGGTAGTTCTCAAATTCTCTTTGTGCCTTAGAAATAATAAATGTCTTGACTCATCTCTACCTTTGTAGCTGAGACTAAAGATTATGGATAGTTAAAAAACTTTATTTTATTTTACTTTATTTTATTGCCAGTCATGAGGCTTGAATTCTTGGCCTTAGTGCTGCCCCTGTTCTTTTGTGCTCAAGGCTAGCTCTCTACCACTTGAACCACAGCTCTACTTTCAGCTTTTTTTATAGTTTAGTGGAGATAAGAGCCTCATAGACTTTACTGCCTAGGATGGCTGCAAACCATGATCCTGAATCTCAGCCTCCTGAGTATATAGAATGACAAGTGTGAGCCACTGATGCCTGGGTAGTAAAAACTTTTTTTTTAAGGCCACACTATATAAAGCACTCATTTTAAAAGTAAATAATTACTTCATATACCATTTTTCATCTATATCTATTTTGTGAACTGGTTCAATTCGGAATATAGAAGTACTTTTTTCCTTTAAAGCTAGATTTAAATGGATTTTAATTTTGCTAAATATCGGCATTTTCAAACTTATTTTTCAATCTCCCTTTTGCTTCAAAGTTGGGAGATTTAGCAATTGTTGCGTCTGCAAAACTACTCTTGATTAGGCAAAGTTGATCATCTGAGTATAGGTCATTCTTTGCTTTTTATGAAAAGTAGTTTAAAATGCTTCATTGCCCCCAAATGTACCCAAAGATGAAACTACTGTCGATTAGTGTTCTCTTCAGCTTTGTGTTTTCTAAGAAAAGATGCATCATAATAGAAGTAAATTTCTCTGAGTTAGAAATGTATTAGTAATTAAAGCTATACAAATGTTTTTGTCAGGGTTCTTTTTCTGACAAATTATAATGCAGCTGTCAAATTCTAGCTCTGCATTTCCTCAGAAATGGAAAAATATTGGCTTATTTACTTTTTTTTTCTTTTTCCTTTGGGCTTGTTAAAATAATACGAAGTTTTTGAGAGATAGCATAAGGGTAGAGAACACTGAAAAATTTATAATGAAGCTGAGAAAAAGAAAAGTTTGAAATCTTGCATTTAAAAAGATTATTTACATAAAGAGCTTTGTATTTATACTCATTTAGCAAATGGGTATCTTATATGGAGATTATACGTTAATATCTCAATAATATCAGAGACAGCACATTTTATGATTACAGTGAAATATTTGTCTTCTAAAGGTAAAATATAATTACTTGTGTATTTTATCATTATATAAAATACGTTAGGACACTTTCCCCCCATATTTTGCATAAAGCTCTAGCTGCCATATACATGAATGGCTTATATGTCTAAGAACAAACTTGGCATTCCAAGCTCGGTAAATTTTTCATGAAGTTAGTATTGAAAAGCTCATAGACAGTAGACACTGTGGAGAATGTACTATGCAACTTGTGGGCTGAGATGGGAGGCAAAACTGAGGGAAAGCACAGGAAGGGGTGACATTGTTGAAAAAGAAATGTACTCATTGCTTGTCTTATCTCTATAATACCTCAATAATAGCAACAATACAATTATATTTTTCATAAAAGTAACTTTAGAAACTCAGAGCCACAGCCTTTGGGATATTTAGCCTCATATTAGCTCTTGGGATGAGCTATAGCTCTTGTCCACGTAACTATTAATCTAAATGGCGTCTGTCTGCCTTTTCTTTACTATATAAAGTATGATATGGAAAATCAGTTTTTTTCTTTTTCTTTATCTTTGCAGCTTTGTGATTGGCCAGATTCTTTCAGATCAAAGTCGGGATACTATAGTGGAAAACATTCAGAAGAGGTTAATAGAAATTGGAGAAAATGTACTAAATGGCAGTGTCCCAGTGAGCCAGTTTGAAATTAACAAGGTAAATGTAGCATTTATTTTTGAGCCCAGCTGCTGTCATATGTTTTTCTCTTCCTTCAGATAGATGAACAACCACCTCAGCCTTGTAATTCTGGCTGGTGGTAATAGCTTCTTAACAACTATTTTTACAGCTCGAGCATTAGCGTAGCTCTTCCAGCCGCAGAGTATGTCTGCCACAGAGGGTCTGTTTCTTATTTTATTGCTCTAAGGCCTGCTTTCCAGATGTCATCTGGATTGATATAGTGTTGGACAATATTGTCTTCTTCATAATCTTTCTAGGTACTGGTTGTTTGGGGCCTGTAAGCTGTGCGTGCATGAGTTGTGTGAATGTGAACAGATGGCAATCATTAAAAGCACTCTTAACACAAAGACTTTGGGGGACAAAATAATTTGAATTAAGATATTGATATTGATAACATCTCATGTTCAAAGCACTTTTGTTTTTGTTTTTTGTGTTTTGTTTTTTTTGGGGGGGTTAAGGGGGTTGGTAGTGGTACTCGAATTCAGGGCCTGGGCGCTATCCCTGAGGTCTTTTTGCTCAAGGCTAATGCTCTTCCATTTTGAGCCACAGTGCCACTTCCGGTTTTCTGGTGGTTAATTTGAAGAGTCTCATGGACTTTCCTGCGCAGGCTGGCTTTGAACTGTGATCCTCAGATCTTAGCCTCCTGAGTAGCTAGGATTACAGGCACAGTCATTGTACCTTTGTGTTCTTCCAAGAATATCATCTTTTAGTCTTACTATGTGTGAATGCCTATAGTCCCTCTACTATATAATTTATCATGTCCCAGTATATTTTAGATCTAGCTTCTGCATATGAGAAAAAACATGTGCTGTTTGTCACTCTGAGCTTGGCTTACCACACTTAACATGCTTTGTTTGCAAATCACTTTTACTTTTTAAATAAAAAGGAAAAATTGTATATATTACATTTTATGGATAGTCTTATGAAAAGTAGGAAAGTTTTTCTTACCTAATTTCAAAAACAAAATCTTGTTCCAAAGTGGTGCGTAATAAGCAAGACATTAGGTTAATAGATTTTTTTCTACTTAAAACATGTATCTTGAATATTCAGAAGCTAATTTGCAAATACCACTTTACCCATTTTATGATAGATTTCTTTGTCAAAGCTCCTAAAAATTTTTAATGAAAAAGAATCTAATGATGACATTAAATGGAAGTTTTAAAATGAAAACTCATTCATAATAACCCTATGCTAAAGTAATGCATGTTATTTTTACACATTTCCATACTCTTGAAAGCATATTTTCATATTACAGCAATTGCATTATATATTATTTAAAAACCTATTTTCACTTAACATAAACATTTTTCAGCATTTCTGTATTACCTTAAAAATTATGAACTTAATACACTTGGACTCTGGTTTGATCCACAGCACCCCCTCCAAAAAACAAAAAAAAATCATAAAGTTAATCAGTGTATCAAATATTGCTAAAACGTATTTATTTGCATTTTTGTTGATTGTTAATTTATTTTTCTGTTAGAAATAACTATTGAAAAGCTTTGTTCACTTATTGTCTTGTTTTTGGATGAATTAGTTTTTTGGGCAGCACTTGGGTTTGAATTCAAGGCCTCACAATTGGTAGGCAAGTGCTTCAGCATTTGAGCCTTGCTCCACCAATATATTTGCTTTTAGTAGTTTGTTTTTCAGGTAGGGTCTTACACTTGTGTCTAGGGCCATCCTCAGACCTCAGTTCCCCTAACTTCACCTCTAGAGTAGCTAGAATTACAGGAATGCGCTATCATACTGAGCTTTATTTTTTTCCCCAATTGATACATTTATTATTGAATTTGAGTTTTTTGTTTTGTATTTTATTGGCATTAAAAAAAGGTTTTATTGTACAAGGAGGAAAAAGGCGTTGCCATTTTATGTCAGGTAATGTCACTCCCCTTCTAATTCAACAGGTTGATTTTTTTTTTTTATTTTTTATTTTTATTTTTATTTGTTGGTCATAGGGCTTGAACTCTGGTCCTGGGCGCTGTCCCTCAGTTCTTCAGCTCAAGGCTATAGTGCTCTACCACTTGAGCCACAGCACCACTTCTGGTTTTCTGAGTGGTTTATTGGAGATAAGAGTCTCACTGACTTTCCTGCCCAGGCTGGCTTGAACCATGATCCTCAGATCTCAGCCTCCTGAGTAGCTAGGATTACAAGCTTGAGTCATCGGTGCCCGGCTTCAACAGGTTGAGTTTTGTGATGGTGTCTTCTTAACTTTGTATGGACTAGTCCAAATCATGGTCTTCTGATCTTTTTCTTCAGATAGTGGGGATATGATTTTATGAGATTACAAGTATATACTCCCATACCTTTCCCACATGGATAACTTCCTTATTTTAGGGACCTTGTAATAAAAATTTTAATCAAAATATGAATATACATCAGAATAAGAAAATATGTATATCTTACAAAATTGCTTTGTATAAAGGTGGTATTGTTAATAACAATGTGTGGCATTTTCATTGTACTGTGCATGTAGTAGTAATGACTTTTAAGTAAAACTCAGTTACTATAAGGTGTATGAAACTTTATTTTATTCCTGGAGTTAATTTGCATTTTTATTTTTAGAGAGAATGTTGCCTTTGCATATGCTTAGGGTTTATGTTTATTCTTAGGCAAGTGTTTTGTTTTTGTTTCCATTACTTGACCGTCAAAGTTTTTACTAATGTCAAAAAGGAAGGCATTTATACATGACAAAAGGACATATGCTTTGACATTAGTTCACAATATATTTATATTGGCATAAGTCGCTGTGTCATCTACAAAGTGGTTTCCCTTGAGTTTTTATTTCTTAGAAATCTTTGTAAGACTTATGTCTCCAGTCTTTGTTCAATCAGGTTTTGCATCTGTTCTGCATATTGTATCACTGATTCCTATCTCCCTTGCTTGAAACATGGCTGTCTGTCACAAGAGATTCTAGGGATGAGATTTGATGGTTTAGTTCAAGAATGACTACGTCACTGACAAAGTAACACCCTCTAGGATAGTGAGCTCATATTATCATCTTCTCAATTTGCTAGTATACAAGAAGAAACCTAGAGTAATAGGCATACTATGATGAGTAGTCTATATCATTTGACCTACGTTTTTATGGTCAAAATTGTTTTACATAAGAAAAAAATGGTATCACTTACCTAAGAATGCATACAAATCTCCATATATCCATCACTTAGCTTCAGTAATTGTCATCTTAAAATGACATCATTATTAATAACGACATTGTCATCTTAAAACGACATCATTATTAATAACAATATTAGTGTTAACACCTCATGACTAGTGTGATAGGGGTTGTGCATAAGTTTTTCTGTGGCAGAACTGAAACTGTGACTTAGCATAGTTACTGGTAAATAATTATTCAGTGAACATAGAATTCACTTGCTCGTTACCATCCACATAAAAAGCTTCAGGAAGTGCTTCTTATGTATTCAGTACTAGATTCTGAGACATGACGTTGTGTAGGGAAAGCATGATAAATATTTTCAAGATCCTAATGATCACTTAAAGATATTTACTGTCCCAGCATCTTAACACTTTTTCTGAGGAAGAAGAGTTTTTTACAGTGCTGATGCAAGTACAGTGAATTCTGATGAAAGCACTATCAATGTCATGGTTGTTTCTATTTACACTAAAGTACTCATGTAAAAGTGATGTGTTATTCTGACATTCTTTACATTTATCTGAATACTTGCATTAATTAAAACTTACAAATAGCTTAAGTTTCACATTTTACTGCCTTCAAAAAAATAGAATGGGCTAGGCGCTGGTGGCTCACGCCTGTAGTCTTAGCTACTTAAGAGGCCGAGATCTGAGGATCGCAGTTCAAAATCAGCCTGGGCAGGAAAGTCCATGAGACTCTTAACTCCAATAAACCACTAGAAAACCGGAAGAAATGCTGTGGCTCAAGTGGTAGAGTACTAGCTTTGAGCTGAACAGCTGAGGGACAGTGCCCAGGCCTAGAGCTCAAGCCCCACAACCCAATTAAAAAAAAAAAAAAGGAATGGAAGAGATTTTAAGTGACTAGTTGTGGGTGATCTCATGGCATGTTGGGTTTTTTGTTTGTTTCAGCTCATGTTGGTAGGGTTTGAAAATGGTATGTTAGGTTAGGGGGAGGCCAGTATAAGGTGGGATTTACCTTTATTTTTTATCTTTAAGGATGTTAGCCATTGTTGCCAAAAGCAACTGAAAAACACTGTTATTTTTTTCTGAACTACTGAAATCTTAGCTTAAATACATTTTGTAAAGTAACACATTATACTTCACAGATGTTTTTTTTTTTTTTTTTTTTTATAGCTCTGGCTAACTTGAGCCTAAACTATACCAGCAAGCATTTTTAAAAATGAAGACTGCTAAATCTAGCTCATAGAATCCTTGAATAGCCTCAATTTAATAAATCGGGAAGTTTGTTAGATAAAATCCAGAATTTCTTAGTAATGTACTGAAAAATAGTTTATCAAAGAAGGTCACAATTTATCTTAAATAGATTTGGATCAATTAAGAGTTGTATAGAAGTCAAGAAGACTTAGCAATCCAGGTTGCGGTAGACTCAAATACTTGGAGTGTTTCCTAAGCCCTCCTATTCTGAGTGGACTATTTATCATATATAACTTGAGCATATGAAGCTAAATTTGAAGACCTACTTTATTTGGCCACAGCAGTTGTTAAAATTTCTTGCTCTGAGGATACCTTTACACTCATGGGATTTTGTGTGTGTGTATGTGTATGTGTGTGTGTGTGTGTGTATGTGTATGCATATGCGTATGCGTGCGCACATGTGTATGCGCTGGTTCTGGAGCTTGTACTCAGGGCCTGGGTGCTGTCATTGAGCTTTTTGTGCTCAAGACTAGTGTTCTACCACTTGAGCTACAAATCCGCTTCTGGCTTTTTGATGTGGATAAGATTCTCACATACTTTCCTGCTTGGCCTGGCTTAGAACCACAATCTTAAAAATTTATCAAAGATTCTAAGAGCTTTTATTGATGTATTTTATGCTAACATTTAGAAGATTGAAATTAAAAAGCATTTATTAATTTGTTTTTAAAAATAATAAATCTTTTCTGAAATTAGAATACTTTTCCATAGAATATATATTCTAAAAATCAGCCATTATTCAATTGCATAAGTCTCTTTAATGTCAGGCTTACTAGAGAACATCTAGGTTTTCATGTGTCTATTCTAGAATGTGTGAATTTGGTTGGAATATAGGAAGAAAATTCATTTTTATACAAATAAGTATTAGCTTTTGCTGATAATTGTACCGTATTTTTGTAAAGGTTGTTTGCAGTCTGAAACCATATTGATGAATTGCTTATATTCTATTACATTAAGATCTGTTGGTTCTATTATACTTTGGATGAATATTTTGCCAATATATAACATTATAGATTGGTCTTCTTTTTTTATTTGTCATGGGGCTTGAAGTCAGGGCCTGGCTGTTGTTCCTGAGCTCTTTTGTTCAAGGCTAGAACTCTACCACTTTGAGCCACAGCTCCACTTCAGGTTTTCTGGTAGTTAATTGGAAATAAGAGTCTCACGGATTTTCCTTTCCTGCCCAGTGCTGGCTTTGAACTACTGTCCTCAGAGAAGCTAGGATTACAAGCATGAGCCACCAGCGCTGGTGTGTGTGTGTGTGTGTATGTGTGTGTGTGTGTGTGTGTGTGTGTGTGCTGGCTTTGAACTACTGTCCTCAGAGAAGCTAGGATTACAAGCATGAGCCACCAGCGCTGGTGTGTGTGTGTGTGTGCTGGCTTTGAACTACTGTCCTCAGAGAAGCTAGGATTACAAGCATGAGCCACCAGCGCTGGTGTGTGTGTGTGTGTGTGTGTGTGTGTGTGTGTGTGTTGGCTTTGAACTACTGTCCTCAGAGAAGCTAGGATTACAAGCATGAGCCACCAGCGCTGGTGGGTGTGGGTGTGGGTGTGTGGTGTGGGGGGGGTGTGATTTTCCTTTGCTGCCCAGGGCTGGCTTTGAACTACTGTCCTCAGAGAAGCTAGGATTACAAGCATGATCCACCAGCGCTGGCTCGTGTGTGTGTGTGTGTGTGTGTGTGTGTGTGTGTTGCTGCTGCTGCTGTTGATCCTCGGGCTTGAACTGAGGTTCTGTGCATTGTCCCTATGACTTGCTGTTCAAAGCTAGCACTCTACCACAGTTCTACTCCTGAATTTTTTTTGGTTAATTGGGGCTGGCTTTAAACCATGATTCTCACATCTCAGCCTGCAGATTAGCTAGGATTATAGGCAGGAACCACCAGTGCTCAGCTTTAATTTAGTTTTTAAGTGTTATTAATACTAGTCAGACTAAACCATCTTTTTACAGGATCAGTTTAGTTTGTCTGTTTGTTTTAAGGAGGGGAGAAACTTCCAGGTTAGAAAAACTAATTTGCCCACCATTTTGTTTTTCAAGTACAATTGTTATTTTGCTAGTTTAGCTTGTAACACAAAGAATTATTTATATGCTTTTTCTTGGCACACCTTTTGCTCTTTAGATGTGTTTTGTGTATACTTTCTCTTTTTATCACATATAACAGTAGACTTGTACTCAAGGATTGATAGCTTAAAGGATATTCTTTTTTTTCTTTTTGCCAGTCCTGGGGCTTGAACTCATTAAAGGCTATTCTTAAGTGAACAAGTTTGGGAACTGACTATAAGTACAGTTTTCTGCTGTTGTTTCTATTTCCTATTTCTAAGGTGCCAACCATTTTTATCTACCATAGCTTCTCCATTATCAGTATAAATAATAGGGTTTTGAAAATAATTGTGAATTCAAGATTACCTGAAAGGGTATTATGAACTCCCAGTGATCTTCAGACCATATTTTAAAACTAATTAGCTCAGGGGCTGGGGGTTTAGCCCAGTGGAAGGGCCCGGCGCGTGCAAGGCCCTGGGTTCAGTCCTCAGCCCTGGGGAAACAAAAAAAGAAAAAAAAAACTAATTAGCTCAATAAGCAGCATTTTGGTCCCCATCCTTCTGCTTGCCTGTTGAGACCTACACTTACACAGCCAGGTGTTCACCCTGTCCCTTCTGTCCAACAAACTTTTATCCCTTATCCCCCTTTTCCCTGCCTGGAATATTCTTGTTTCTGTCACTTGTATCTTTGAATCTTGTTTTCCTTCAAGTACAAGTACCAGCTTACTTTTTTTTTTAACCTCTCAGAGATGATCTTTACCTATCTAAAGTCTTTTTATAACACTGTTTATTGTTCATATCTCTTTTATGGCACATGTTGATTATTGCATAGGGGTTTTGAGGGGCATCCAAAGGGGAGGGACTCTTTAAGTGAATAGCTATTAACTACATCTCATTCATATGTATTCTTATTATTACTATTTTTTGCCAGGCTTAGGGCTTAGGTCCTGAGTGCTGTCCCCGAGCTGCTTTTGCTCAAGGCTAGCTCTCTGACATTTTAGCTCTAGCTCCAATTCCAGCTTTCTGGATGGTTTATTGGGACATAACAGTCTCATGGACTTTCCTGCTCTGGCTGTCTTGGAATCATGATCCTCAGATCTCAGCCTCTTGGGGCTGTGAGCCATGTGCCCAGCTTATGGTTAAAGTTAGCAAATTATTGCAAACATTCGGTTTCTATTGTATATAACACTCATTCTGATTATTGGGGATGAGGCTTCAAGTATGATTGATGTTCTTGTTCTCATGGCATTAACCTTCTATTACAAACTCCTTCTACCTCTGTAGAGTTAACCGTGCAAGTAAATTCAGCAATTCCTGGCGCCTTTGTGACTTATTTGGGCTACTGGAGCCTTTGAGAAACAAATAATTAAGTCAGTGTAGCCATTGCTCATCATTTCCACCTAATCAGTTAAGTCAGTTGATAGAATTGCAAAATTACGAGAAACTCTAAGGTTTCATAGAACACTGGACTTAGAATCTTGATATTTTAAATATTCAAATAATACATGGCATGGCCCATAAATTTATATTTCTTTTCTATTAAGATTTCCATCTGGTTATAGCATTTACTAAATAATGGGATCATTTAAAGATTCTATGGCTGTGTTTTCTATCTGTAGTTTCTGTCATTATCTGGTATTTCTGTCTAATGGGGTTCTTTTTTTTAAAATGGGGTTCTTTAAAAATGTAGTCAGCATACATTGATCTGTGGGAAGTTTTGAACTTTGGCACTATTTTGATCTTTTCTCTCTCTAAGGCACTGACGAAGGATCCCCAGGACTATCCTGACAAGAAGAGCCTCCCTCACGTGCATGTTGCCCTGTGGATAAATTCTCAAGGAGGCAGGAAGGTGAAAGCTGGAGATACCGTGTCATATGTCATCTGTCAGGTAATTTATAAGACATACCATTTACAAGCCTTGAGTAAAATCCACATTACTACAGTGTCTTAGATGGTTTAGTCTGGCTAGTATTAGCAGCACTTAAAAAATATTAGTCAGAGTTATGGCATGTTTCATTAGAGCTTTCATAAAATATTTAAGACTAGCATTTTGGTTCACTAAAATAATGTTGGTGAGATGGGTATATAAGAGTAGCTACTGTTTCAATCCTAAATTAACTTAGAACTTTAATGAAAATATGTTGTGGGCTGGGGATTTAGCTCAGAGATAACAGCACTTGCTAACATGTGAGGCTCTGAATCCCATCCCCCGAATAATGGGAGGGAATAAATGTGTGTACGTTTTGCTGTAGGTCCAGCAGTAGTCCCTTAATTATTCATCTGACATTTTCTAGTATGAATCAGTGGAATAAGAATAAATACATTGTTCTCATAGCTTGATTTTATATATAGAGAGCCTACCTGCTTGCGTTCTCCCTGTTCCTATGGACACCTCTGAGCCTTTAGGTACAGTTTTAAGCTATAAACTTTTTTTGAAAGTAGCATGCCACCAACATAAGTGGGGAGAGGGAGAGGGAAGAAGAGCAGATTCCTCCACCCCTCTGGAAGCATTGATGCCTATTGGCACAAAGGAGAGCTCTCATCTTTAATTTCTGGTGGGTGTGTGGTAAAGGGGAGGCATCATAAATCCTTTGTCCAAATTCTTGAAAATTATTCTGTTATGGTCTACTTACCCCAAGTATAATTCTGAATAAGAATCCTAATTTTTGTTTCATTATGTTATTATAGTAAAGGATTTTAGAAAAGTCTTGAAATATATTACACCATGATTGGTCTTTTTAAAAACTACAATTGATATATTTTTAAAGCACCAGTCTTTAAAAAATTTAAAAGTAGTTGCTTGATGTCTGTTACTCTAGATGATACATGTAACAAATGATTTAAGTACATGGACAGGAATCAGCACTTGACTCTGTCTCCCTCCTAGGGTTACCCTTGATTAAGAACTATTACAGAAAGCCAATTCCTGCAGGAAAATATTTCCGTAAATGTCTGGCTTGCTCCAGCCCTTAATGTGCTTTGCATATTGCTTCTGACAAGTCCCATCTCACAAAAACAATTTTCATATTATGCAAATAAAGATTTTGGTAAATAGGCTCTTTTTTTTTCCAGTTAAGCCTTCACATACATGGGAAAACTCTTAGATCATTAATGACAGATTCAGACAGTAGCATATAACTTTGAAAAAATAGGTTTAGTGAAATAGTATCTAGTGATGAGATCAAACCACTTTGCTAAACTTGGAATGGAAGCACTTGGTAACTTTGGAAATAGGGCGATGGATGTATTTAAAAGTCAAGCTTGTGTTCTTTAATGTCTAAATATCAGGCCTTATGATTACTTCTTGTTATCATATATAAAGACTTCAAATGGTCATGCTAATGTAGTACTAAAATCTATTTTGATATGTTTTTAGCATTTTTTGTACCTACTTGTACTGGGTCTTGTGTTTTATTATTATCATCATCATCATCATCATCATCATCATCATCATCATCATCATCATCATCATCATCATCATCATCATCTTCATTTTGTCAGTTCTGGGGCCTGAACTCTGGGCCTGGGCGCTGTCCCTCAGCTCTTCAGCTCAAAGCTAGCGCTCCACCACTTCAGCCATAGCACCACTTCTGGCTTTTTCTGCTTATGTGGTGCTGAGGAATCGAAGCCAGGGCCTCATGCCTGCAAGGCAAGCGCTCTACCACTGAGCCACCTTCCCAGCCCCCTGTTTGTTTGTTTTTAAAGTTATTTTCTCAAGCATGTCCCTAGAAAAGCTAAAGGATTTTAATTTACTTTTGTCCCCTACCTGTGTGAGACATACCCTTTTTATCTATCACATTCTCTAGCCAAACCTACCTGACTTGTTTTGCTTTATTTTATTTTGTTTCTTTAGTTTTTTGTCAGTCTTGGGGATTGAAATCAGGGCCTAGGCACTCTCCTTGAGTTTTTGTGCTCAAGGTTAGTGCTCTAACACTTTGAGCCACAACTCTACTTCCAGTTTTCTGGTAGTTAATTAGAGGTAAGTCTGTTTCAGACTCCTGCCTGGGCTGGCTCTGAACCACAATCCTTAGATCTCAGCCTCCTAAGTAGCTAGGATTACAGGTGTGAGTCACCAGTGCCTAGCTTGTTTTGTTTCTATTTATTTTTTATTTTTATTTTTGTCAGTCATGTGGCTTGAACTCTGGGTCTTAGCTTTTTCCCTCAAGGCTAATAATGTTCTACCTCTTTGAGCCACAGCACCACTCTGGTTTTCTGGTGGTTAATTGGAGATAAGAGTCTTACAGACTTTCCTTCATGGGCTGGCTTTGAACCTGGCTTCTCAGATCTCAACCTCCTGAGTACCTAGGCTTACAGTCATGAGCCACCTGTGTCTGGCTTTGTTTTGCTTTTTTTTTTTCTTTTGGTCGGTCATGGGGCCTGAACTCTGGGCTTGGGTGCTGTCCCTCAGCTCTTCAGCTCATGGTGAGCGCTCTACCACTTGAGCTACAGCGCCACTTCCTTTGTTTGCTTTTGTATGCTCAGGTTTATTCTTTCTATTTCATGATACAACTATATCAAGAATTAACTTTTCAAAATAATGCTGACAAATTTTTATGATTATTTGCTATGCCACGCCAAGGTGTTCTCCAAAAATAGCCTGTTTCCCAAAAGGGTTATATTGTATTTAAAATTTATAATTGGAACATAGTACCTACCAATAACTTATTGAGATTGCCACCTCAGATGTTCAGAGGATAATATTTTTGGTGTCCAAATATGAAAATCTATACTATTGTTAAATTTACTATTTGCTCAGATCTTAAATCAACTTCCAGTTGTCTACTAATTTTCTTTCATTAGCAGATATTAGTTATGAGAAGATTTCCTTATGGCATTTCTACATCACATATATGATGTATTTCAATCAATTTCATTCCTTCTATTGCTCTCCTTGCTCTGCTTCTCCTCTTCCTAATTTCAATGGCTTTAATGTTGTATTTTCATAGTTGTACTCCATCTATTTGGACCATATTCACTCACTCATCTTTTTAGCCCAACCCTCTCCTCCTGGTACCCCCATTAGATCCTGTTTGTCTTTCCTCATCCTTCCAATCCCTCGTACATGAACACCTTTCATTGAAATCCTTTATTCTGTTTTCATATGTAGTTGCAATGTATTTCAAAATTATTCTCTCTCTATCATTCCTTTTTGCCTTTCCCTTTCTCTTTCACTTCTAAGTTGTCTAATTTTAAATCCTTCGTTATTTAACTTTCATTAGTCATGATTTCTGAAAGGCATGTCTTTGACATAATTGTTTTAATGGCCCTCTTATTATTATCCATTTAGTTTTTTCCATTAATTTCCCACTAAAAATTACTGTAGTTCAGAATACCTGGTTTTCTCTGAAGTTCATGAATTGCTATGTGGATACTTCAATGAAGACTAACTTTGCTTCCTAATCTGTCCTTAAGTAGTATTTCTCCCATATTCTTGCATATACCATAAGGGCTTATATTTGAGAGCCAAGTCTTTGAGAGAGATATCTTTGGCTATAAGCCTACACGTTTTCCCAACACAACATAGCCAAACCTATTACCTAACCAACTCTGAATTTTGCTACGCGTAAGCATAGATTTGTACATTAAAATGAGGAGTATGTTTGGGTCACTATTTGCTACTAATCTTTTGCATGGACATATCGAGTGAGTGTTTTAAACTGAAATTTTGATACCTTCAATGAAAGGTGAAAAATGACTCAAGCATCTTTAATTCATTTTACATATTTTTGGTGTGCTGGGAGTGGAACCCAGAAACTTGTGCATGCTAGGAAAGCACTCCACCCCATCCCCAGCTACCCCCCCCCCACCTGCTCTCAAGAACCCTTTATTAAAACGGGGCTGGGAAGGTGGCTCAGTGGTAGAGTGCTTGCCTTGCATGCCTGAGGCTCTGGGTTCGATTCCTCAGCCCCACATAAGCAAAAAGGAAAAAACCGGAAGTGGCACTGTGGCTCAAGTGATAGAGCGCTAGCCTTGAGCTGAAGAGCTGAGGGACAGCACCCAGGCCCAGAGTGCAGGCCCCACGACCGGACCCCAAAAAAAAAATTCCTGTAAATTTTTAAAATTTTAATTCACTATTGAACTTAAACTTAACAAAAAAGCTACAGTTGTTTGAATCACATTTCATGTGTTAAAAATCAATTTGAACATACATAGCAAGGCACATGAAGATGCTACGCAGAGATTTTTTTAAAACTGTTTTTGCCATCAATGGTTGCCTTATTCTCATGTAAAAATTTAAGCTTCTAAAAGGGTTAATCTTGATTAATCCTGTTTTTCTTAATCTTTTTACTGTGCTGTGATCTAAACATAATAAGAAAATATTTTAATTTGGTTTTTGCTTCTTTTTTAGGTATTTCCTTTTATCTTAGAACAGGTAGAAATTGGTTGAAAAACAGGCTTTAGTTGGTTTCCGTAAGGAGCCTAGCCAGAGAGAGAGGTCTGTGGTAAAGACAGTGTTTCAAAAAGTTGCCTCTGCTTTGGGCTGGATGCTAAGCTGAGAAGAGACTGATTGTAGCTGAAGTGAAAGAATAGGATTCACATTATAATCAGTTCTGCAGAGCAGCTGAGCACTGTGAATAGTATAATTTACTAGTCTGAATATTAAGTTTTGTTGTTTCAAATGACAGCATGGATGGAGTGAGTCGTTGGGTGTTGGTCCAGTAGAGTGATGACTTTTTGATTTATAGATAATGACATCACTGCAAGGCTAGAGTGAGCCAATTATCCATCATTTCATATCTAATTTTATATAATAAAAGAGCCTTTAAAAAGAGTCTCCATCCCACCTTTCTTTCCTTGAGGAGAGCCACCTCTTCATTCCAGTGGTCAAATGTTTGGCCTTTGAACACTCCCACTCATCAGATTCTGTGTTCATTTTACTTCTTATATCTGCTCTATGGATTTTTTTCCTTTTGTTAATCTGTGCCTCAATGATACATAAAGCTCATAAAAAATAGTAATGGGGGTGATACTACTATGGCTGAAATTCTGGTTGAAGGAATCACATTAACAAAATAAAAATCTATACTTACATATATACATATATATGTACGTGTGTGTGTGTGTGTGTGTGTGTGTGTGTTTGCTTGCTTGCCAATGCTCAGGTTTGAACTCAGAGCCTGGTCATTATCCCTGAAGTTTTTTTTTTTTCTCAATGCTACTATTCTACCACTTGAACCACTGCTCCACTTCTGTCTTTTTTGGTGGTTAATTGGAGATAAGGGTCTTACAAAGTCTCTTGCCTGAGTTGACTTTGGACCAGGATTCACAAATCTCAGTCTCCTAAGTAGCTAGGATTACAGGCATGAGCCACTGGCGCCTGGCCATACATTCCTTTATTACCATTCCTTTCATAACGTTTCATTCTAACTGAATCATTACCCAGTCTTCTCGGTGTGTTTTTGTCATGGCAGGTGGAGTTTTTTAATCTAGTCAGTGCTATCTTGCTGGTTTCACGTTCTGACAAAAAATAGAACACAACACATGCTGGATTTACATTCTCAGACAGTGTAAAAGACTGAAATGAAGAAGTCTTTGATCTTTCTACTTTAGGATATATGGGAAGTGTTCGTCAGCAGGTCTTGAAGACTTCTTGGTGTTTGGAATTGAACACCCAAATTTTAAACTATCTCTCTGGTTGATCAAGCAGGTGTACATGTGCTTGAGTTACTACTAAGTTTATTTGTACCATGTTTTCTTCTAGGATGGGTCAAACCTCTCGGCAAGCCAGAGGGCCTATGCACCTGAGCAGTTGCAGAAACAAGACAATTTAACCATTGATACCCAGTACTACCTAGCTCAGCAGATCCACCCAGTTGTGGCTCGGATCTGTGACCCAATTGATGGAATTGATGCTGTACTGATCGCATCATGGTTAGGTAAGTCTCCCAAGTTTGTGCCATTGCAAAGTAGCAGTATTAGTCCTTCTATTAGTAGGGTCCCTGTTTATGTATGTGGGATTTAGGTATTGATTTTGTAGTTATTGGCTCCTGTCTTCCCTCATAAATTATGAGCTCCATGTGCTTGCTACCTCTGTAAACACATGCCTGCTGCACAGTTGGCATTCTTGTAAATTTGGGGGAAAATATAGAAGGCAAAGGACAGGGAGAAGTGAGGATTTTAGGCACCATTATAGTCACCAAACTTACATTACCTAATTAGTGAACTTCTACAACAAAGGCAGTGGATGGTGTTTTGCTTATTGGTTCATCTTGTCTATGTAGTTTATAAAGTAGTTTATAAAGTGAGAAAAGAGCTTTTGAGCATAACATTTTTAATATTTGAGTTTCTTCAATTACTTTATTCTTGCTTTAATTTAAATTCTTCTGAAATAGGGCTTTCTGTTATTCTCTAGAAACTGACTGATTCCTAATTTGTCATCATCCCAGGAGGTGCCAATCAACCGTGACACCTCAGTATTTGTTTGACTTTTTTCTGTGTTACCTCTTTGCTATGTCATTATCATCATTTTTTGCGTAGAACTGTATATCATAACCAGCCCTGCTTACATTTCTAGACACCTTGCACATAAAGAGTTACATGGCTTTTTTTATTAGTGTGTTTTAATTGTACAAAAGGTTTTCACTGAGTCACAATCCTTTAAGGTCCCTGTTCTTTATTTTTATCATAAACAAAAATGAATATTTTTACAGTATTGCCTAATAAAGTCCTTACCTGGCTCCTCACTTTTCTGTAAATCAAGTCCAGATGCCACTGACATGGTGTAAACTTTGGCAGATACATACTGACTTTCTAGCATCAAACTATCTTCAGCCTTATTTCTTGTTCAGTGTACTTCGTGTTTCCTAACTAATTTATTAATCATTTTAATCATAGCTCGATGGAAAATTCTCCCTGATCCTTTCACTAAAATATTTGCCTTGGGCCATGGTTTTGCCATCACTGGGACTGAGGTTTTGCTGCTAGTTTTGGTTTTCACAAACCTCAGAACCTTGATCTGTGCTATCATTCTTGAGTGATAGCAGAATTGTTCTGAGTGAGAAATAACGTATATGAGGGAGTGCTCAATGAGTGTAGCCATCTGCCACCCACTTTTTCAGCTTCAGTATAAATGTCCATATTCCTCCAATATGCTGTTGTAGAATGAGATTGGATCTTTCCACAGGTGATTATCCAGGTACATGTTTTGCACCATTCCCCTGTTGCATCCATTTCTGAGCTCATCTCTGTTGCCCTCATTCCCCGTGTCTGCTCTGGAAGTGGAAACTCATTTTTTGACACTTGCCTAAGCAAAACATAATTAGGAAGATAAAATTCTGCTACCAAAATAATCATATAATGTATTCTCCAAGTTGAGTTGTATTTAATGATGCTTATAAATCTTCAGTTGGGAGGAGGGAAACTATAAATGCATGATATTTTTTAGCCTCTTTTTTGGCCTCCCATCCATTGAGTGCTTACTCTACTGGATGCTGTGAGAAGCACTTTGCATATCTTATCTCATTCAGCTCTTGCAGCAACCTTATGAGGATATATTGTATTAGCTCCATTTTGCAGAGAAGGAAGCCAGTGCTTAGGAAAGTAATGAACTTGGTCTTCTTGTCACATAACTTATGTTTGGCTGTGGCTGGATTTTAACCAACTTCCATGAAATTCTAAAGGACCTACTCTTAACCATGGTGCTAAACTTCATTGCCTCTTAGCTACAAATAGTATAGCATTGAGAGGATGTGAAAGGTATTCCCAACCAAGAATGGAAAGATATGGATGTACAAGCATGAGAAACTTTGTCTTTTTACCTTCTGCACTCCCTCTGAGTAACCCCACATTCCTCACTGAAAGCCTTGTAGATGCTAAGCATATGACTACCGATCTATATGCCAGGTCCCTACAGCATATATTTTGACTTGCTTATGGACACTTTATCATGTGTGGCTGTTTTATAGAAGTAGACAACCTTTTGAATGTAGTTGTAGCAAATGACTTGCGAAGCTAGTCATAAACTAATGGGTCCCATCTTCAGAGGTCTCATTATCAACTACTCTCAGTCAACAGAGGGAACTTTCCAGACTTGCACATGGTCCCATCACATAACCAGCTTTCCTAGTCAGGAACAGAAATCTTGGGGGGGGGGAGGCAGCTGTGGCCGAATGGATGTTATTCTTGGTGCTCCTTAGATAGTGCGAGCCCCCGTGGAAGGGCTGTGTCTTGAGATGTAGAGGAACTGCTGCTGCTCTCCTCTTTCAAGCTGCTTCTTTGCATTTCTGTCACTTCACAGCGGTTTTTATACTGTAGATGGGCGAAGCTGTCTCATTAGATAGCCCTCTGTCCTGATTTGTTTGTCCTCTTCCACTCTCCCTGCTGCCAGCCCCAGCAGTATATGCATCCTCTACATAATTTGCAAAGAAATAGATGGACCTGGAAAAAAATTATGTTAAGTGAGGTAAGTGAGGCCCAGAGAGCCCAAGGAGGCGTGTTTTCTCTCCTATGTGAAAGCTAGATCTGATTGATAAATATGTATGTAAGCATAAACGGGATCATACGCATACATACACAAATGCACTTGTTTTCTGTTTGGTCTTGTTTTAATCTGCACCCTTTATCTCTTCATTCCAAGTGAAGATTAGGGTAGCTGTTCCTTCAAAGCTTTGAAGCCTGTTACTTTTGGAGCTCATGGGCTTAGAGAAGGGGAGGGAGATGAGGAAGTGGTAGAAAAGGAAGGGGAATGCTAGGGGGACATGGTTTCTAAGAGGTGCAAGCTGTAGGCATAAAATTACTGTAATTTATTTTAAAAATTCGAAATCTGTGTTCTTTATATATAAAAAACTGCAGTTAGTGAGCTGACACTGTTAAATAAGTTGAAGTGTACAAATGTATACATAAATACAAGCCCTCCTGCTGCCTAATCACAGACATAACATAATTCTCTTGCTTTTAACGTAGTTTTTAATCTTTGATTAATGAAATGTATTACAGTGTTGAAACTTTAGTGAAGTTTGATACTTTGTCCTTTTAGTTAGTACAAAGAAATTGGGAATAATGGCATAATTTCATTTAGGAAAATTATTAAGTTCATGATTTTTTATTTTTAAGACTCCTTTGTGGAAAGCAACTATATTTTTCAACTACCTTTTTCTTTTTCTATTGCCTTTATACTGCTTTCCTTGAAATGAAAGGCAAGCATCAAGTGTTGGTTTTATCCTGTGGCTTCTCTTTGGAAAATCTCTGTTTCTCCTCGTCAAGATACCTCCTGAAGTCTGTCTGGTGGCATGTTGCATGGCCAGGTGTTCTGTATGGGAAGGCCACTTTGGTGAAAAGGAGAGAGGATAGTCTATTAAATGAGCGAATGAATAAGTCTGGTGAATTGAAAGAGAATAATTTGTTCTTTCTAATAACTAATGGTCCTCATTATCCCACTATAAAATGTGTATCATTTTTCTGAAACCCATGTAAGATTATTGCTATTGGGCTTAAATAAAGCAAAATTTTACTCTTTTCCATCTGTGAATAGGACAAAAAAATATAGTATTACTCTTCTTATACAATATCCCTATAGGAAACATGGCCACTAAAACTTGGAGCTCTTGGCTTTTGTTCTCCAGACTATAGGTCCCCCCCCCCTTTCTCTCTTGTTCTAATGAAAGCTTTCTAGAGTCTGTGGATGAAATATTCACAGTATCTAAATAGTCTTCTGTACCTGGCAAACCAGACTAGTGATGAGAATAGCATAAAGTTCATTCTTGAATTTCATCTTTCAGGGAATTTATATTTCATATATAGTAGCACACACACACATACACTCTCTCTCTCTCTCCAAAGAGGAATAATGATGTGTACAATAATTATAAAGCATATTTCTTTCCAGTCAGTAATAGTTTTTAGGAATTGGAGATCTAGGCATTTTTCCTCATTGGTCCTGAGAAATTAGCAAGGTTTGAGGAATGTGAGAATTTAGAATTTAATCTGAGAAGATAGTAGTTAAAACAAGACAGAACCCACTTAACCCAATGTGTTTCTGGGTTACATTGGAAAGTACCTATTCACCTTTTAAAAATGACCTATAACACTCAGGTTACAGAAGGTAGTTTTTATGAATGGACAAGATCCAGTAATTTCTTCTAAGAAGTACAATAGTGGGCCAAGTAATATTTGGAGATTCTTTTTGCACAGCCAGGAAAATATGCCTTCAATATACAGGTTGAGCATCCTTAATCTGAGTGTGCCAACATCTGGTGCATTGTGACATGATGTCACAGGTACAGAATTCCATACCTGATCCTCATGTTACAAACCCTAATCCAAACACAGGAACATGCAGCAGGTGTGGTAACACATGCAATTGCTGCAGTGGGGAGGCTGAGGCAGGAGGATTGCAAGTTCCAGGCCACCTGGGTTACCTAGTAAGACCATACCATGTCTACAAAGGGAAGGAAGGAAGGAAGGGAGGGAGGGAGGGAAGGAAGAGAAAAGGAAGGAAAGGAGGGAGGGAGGGATAAATACTGTCTTGTATTAAATTATACAGGAGTATATGAAATATTATAAATTTCCTGTCCCCAAGGCAACATTTTTTCCCCAGAGTTGAGGACCATACTCAGAGCCTTGCACTTGCCAGGCAAGTGCGGTTCCACTGAGCTTAATCCCCAACCCCCAAGGCAACTTTTCATATACATGAATATGTTCTAAAATTAAAATAAAGGAAAATCACAAACATTCTGGTCTCAACCTGTACACATTATGAAGTTAAAATTTATATTCCGAATTGTCTTTGAGATACTTAAAACCAGCTTAGTTGTTGAATGGTAATTCCTTTGAACGACTTCTTAAAGATAATAAAAAAATTAATTAATTTTAAAAATTGAGGTCAGGAAAGTTGTTCATCAAGAGTTTCTTATCAAGATTTTGGGAGTTATCTTCTACT